AAGAGGGCATTTACCCATGTCCCATGGCATAACTCTCAGCAAGAAACAGTGTCCGCAGACACCTGTTGAGCGAGAAAGAATGAATCAGATCCCATATGCTTCGCTAATTGGATCGATCATGTATGCCATGATATGTACAAGGCAAGATGTATCGTATGCCCTGAGTGCAAAGAGTCGATACCAATCAAACCTAGGAGAGGCGCGTTGGACTGCGGCCAAGAACATCCTTAAGTACCTAAAAAGGAACAAGGATAAATTCCAGGTGTATGGAGGCCACAAAGAACTGGTTGTTGAAGGTTACACCGACGCTAGCTTCCAGACTGACAGAGACGACTTCAAGTCACAGTCGGGATACGTATTCTGCCTGAATGGAGGAGCGTTCAGCTGGAAGAGAGCCAAGCAGAGCACCACTGTAGACTCTACAACTGAAGCCGAGTACTTGGCCGCTTCGGAAGCTGCCAAGGAAGCTGTTTGGATTCGCAAGTTCATCAGTGAACTTGGTGTTGTACCCTTAATCAAGGGACCGATAGACCTTTATTGTGATAATAATGGAGCTATCGCTCACGCCAGAGAGCCGAGAGAACACCAGAAGGTCAAACACGTGCAACGGCGATTTCACATGATAAGGGAATGGAAATCCGAAGGTGAAATCAGAATTTGTAAGATCGGCACGGACGATAATGTGGCCAATACTTTGACTAAACCTCTGCCTCAAGTGAAACACAACAAACACGTTGAGGCAATGGGAATCAAGCATGTTGGAGACTGACTTTGATATTCCCTGTACAAGTGTTTTAATTAAACAGGGTTGATTTAATGTAAGACACTGTACTAAAACCATTCATTAATGGAGTAATTAATTTTTGTGCAAAATTATCATTCACTCCATTACTATTTAATTGTGGTTTAGAATTAAATAATGAGTCCATTCGATTTACGGAAATATTCAAAACAGGGTATCAAGACCATGTCTAGGATAAAGAAACACCTGTTAAGTGAACATTGAATATTAAATCGAAAAGTATCCCTAATCGAGGTCAGCTAACAGATGGACGATTGATGACCGCCATAGATTAGTGTGTAGTATGATTTACAACACCGTTTCTTGTACTGCGAGGACGTGACAGTCATAAATCATTTGCACAGGTACAGTTTAGAACTGTACTGGATAAGACCTATGAGAGTACTTTAAGAAAATTAAATTTTTGTCATAAGTACATTTCTCATTATGGCTATCGGAACTTATTTCCTCAGGCATGAGTACTGTGAAGTTTTCTTGTTTGAGTACTGGGCTCTTTGATGTTTCCTAACGTCTGCCGTAACTGGGGATCATAACGGGAACACTCGGGAGTCTATGTCCTCTTAGTAAGAAGAACTTACAATAAAAGACTGGGATTGTCCCCTACTAACAATAGGGAAAATGTTTTGTTGTTTAAAAGGCCGCTCGAAGAGTAAGACTGTAAAATGCATGGCCATGCTCAGATGGATTTTAGGAATCATCTGCTTATTTGACAGTCAAACTCGGAGATCAAGAAACACTTCTGAACGTAATAAGGATGACAAAGAATCTTACCTTATAGTTCACGAAGAAACATTTAGAGACAAAGGAAATGAGCTATACACAATGTGCACACTTGTCCGGAAGGACAAGTGGGAGATTGAAAGGAATGGTGTCCTTCCAACAAGTGTATTATCCCGATAGAGGGATCAGAATTATTACAGAGGTAATTCTTCAGTAAGGTCAAGTGATCGGAATGCCTAGGTGGAGGCCGCTTCCGATCAGTAATATCAGGATACAATTGATATTACAGCTTAATCTTAACTAAACCCTTCGGGTCGAACCCAATCGAATCTTCGATCCGAGACGTCGAATTAATCCGAAAGGATTTAATGAGTCGACATAGTTTTACGAATACAGACGTCGGAAATCGAGCCTAGGGCGTCGATACCGAGCGTTGCAAAATCACAATCGACAAGCATGAGCGTAGCCATAGCTAGGCTAGGCTAGCTCATCGCAAACCTGGGTGCACCATGTGTGTGCTAGGCGCACCATGGTGTGCTAGGCACCATCGCAGCCTAGGCGCACCCTAGCAGCCCATCGCAAGCTAGCATGGGTGCCTAGGTACGCATGGCAGCCATCGCAAGCCACACAGGCACCAGGCAGCCCATAGCAGCTAGCAAGCATGCAAGCGTGGTGCCTGGGTGCATATGGCGCCTATCGCAGGCCATGGCATCACCAAGCGCACCATCGCAAGCACTGGGTGCTGCGTGCGTGCGTACCTGGCCTGGCAGCACCATCGCAAGCACCAGGTGCTGGCGTGGTTGGCTGCCTGGCAATGGCGCGCCATGTGCGTGTTCTTGAGTGCTAGCCTTCGCATGGCAGCACTAAGCATCGCAGCACATGCGAAGGGCTGCGCGCCAGCTCGATGCTATGGTCTGGCACTCGCAGCCTCGCACACTAGCCTCGCACAAAGCAGCCTCGCATGTCATGCGTGTGGGCTGGCAGTGCGTGGTGCGTGTGCGTGCAATGCCTGGCTGGGTGCTAGGCAGCAGCGCCACGCATACGAGTGCATGTACGTGCGCACATGCCTCGCATCAAGCACAAGCAGTGCTAGGCACTGGCTAGTGCTAGCGTAGGCATCGTGCTAGTGTGTGTGTGCGATAGGGTATGCGAATGGTGCGGGGGACAGTGTGGCCAGCATGCGTGGCTCGCTAGCAGCACGCATGCTGGCTGTGTTAGCAGTGAGGCGCGAAGAGTGAGTGCGTGGGCTGCTGGGGCTAATGCCAGCACTAGGTGCTAGCAGCGCCAGCACGTAGCACCAGCACAGCCCATCAGCAGCGTGCACTGGCTGGCTGGCTGGCTGGGTGCTGGGCAGCAAGGCACGCTAGCTGGCAGCCCCAGCTGGCACACCTTAACCCGGTTTTGGGCATGGTGTGTGGGGACCAATACATGGCCTTGGGGATCAAGGCAATGGTCCCCCCAAGCCTTGGTCCTCACTTGGCTTTCTCTATATTTTTGCCATGTGTCGATTTGTGATTGAGTTGATTAATTATTTAGTTTTGGAATTAAATAATTATCATTTTACCAACTCTCCCACATTGATGGGAGATTGGAAATCAAGGGATCATTTCCCTATAAATACCAAGCTTGGTATTGGGATTTGAGACAACCTTGAGTGGAATTAAAAAGGCAACTCTAGAAAAGAGTAAACCTTTGATTCGTAAAACTCATAGTTATTTTGTCCGGGTCTTGACTAACCTTCAAGACTTAGGACGCTCGGGTCGGGTCGAGGGTACGATCCGTAGGAGATCTCGTCTTTTCGAGATTTTGAAGTAAGAGCTCATTGGGAGCGAAGCACGCGTCAAAGGTATAATTCTTGTCCTTAATCTTGTTTGATTAAGTTGATTATGCTTGTTTAATTTCTTTAATTAAGGGGCGGGTCTTGGTGGGTTTCCTTCCGCGTAGTGTCGGGTCACTACGAAACCCTACATGAATATGATTTCAAAATCGCCATGACTAAATAAAATCACTCACTTGGAAACCTCCTACAAACCAAAATTACAAAGAGGCACCTATTCCACACAAATTTTTAGCAATATATACACTCTTTAAATCACTCATAAATCCTCTAAAACAAGCTAAAATTTAATTTAAAACCCTTACTTTTATTCCTAATTAATGGGTAATTAAAAATCCTTTCAAGAAACATAATTAAAGCTTATATATAAATATTATAGCTTTATTAGATCATTTAAAATTGTTGTAATTGTGTTTTAAAACACTAATTTCAATAATTTAAATCACCCATAAACAATTTCCATCAATATACATAAACTTAGAAACCTAGGGTTTATAATTTGGGGCTTTTTAATTCAAAACCAAATCTGAAAATTTATATAAAAAATACTTATTATCAAACATCATAAAAATCATCACAAAACCTAAAAACAATAATTAGATCAAGACTAGATTTAATTAAAATAAAAAAGAATATTTTTTTTGTTCGAACACCAAGAGCTCGACACTACAGCAAGGCTGCTGCCGTGCGCCTGCTGGTGGTGCCACTACTGTTGCTGGAGCTCACTGGTGGCTGCGGCGGTGGCCGGCGGCGTGTGGTGGTGTGTGTGGGTGGTGATGTAACAAAATAAAAATAAAGGGGAAGGGGAAAATTTAAGGGGAAAAGAAAATAAGAGGAGAGAGAGAGTTTACTTTTGGGCAAGTTTAATTTTTGCTCATATGATGGGTATTTATACCCTCTCTCAATAACCCTCCTACTTAAAATTCCTTTACTACCCTTAATGATCCCTTTCTTATTCAAACTAGTATTTTGATTTTCCTTAAATACCACTGACTTTAAAAATTACCTTTTATAAAATAATATGCCCCAAAGTTTCCAAATCATGAAATAAAATATTTTCAAGATTGTTAAATAATTAAAAATAAACTTTTAATTAAAATAATTCTTTTTAAATCAATGAAACACCATAAATAATTCATTTCGAATTATTTAAATACTTTAAGAAATACTTATTTAAATTAAAATATGTATAAAAACCTGGGGTATTTCATAAAGTGTCAGGATTAAGACATTTACCTTATCGAATTCTTTTCATTTATATATTTAATATTGTCATATTAAAACCTATATTGCTTACTAATTTTGATTGCAGAATTATCACATAGTCAACCATGAACAACCATGAATACAAATTACCCGAGACAACTAGTGCAATGAGCATTCACCAAATTATGGAATTCAACTGCCACATTCTTCAATTTCACACCACATTCCTCAATTTCACTACACATTCCTCAATCCCAACATAATAAATATAAATCAATATCCAAAATCCCAACAAAATAAGGATAATAATATTCACCAAATTATGTCAAAATCAATAATGACAATCAATAAATGAGTATTCGGTATACAAGCAAGTGAATTATTCAAGTTCTTGGAATTCAATTATTCCATTACTCAAATTAACACATACTTAAGCTAATTGAGTCATTGAATTGTTAAATTTATACCATACTTAAGCCAATTCAGTCATTGAATGTTAAATTTACACAATAATTGAAGTTTTACTGCCAAATTTTCCGCTATATTTTTTACTCATGCCGCCAATATGCCACGACGCTACCGTACCAAATCTGATTGAATCCGACCACCACCCACCGGATTGACAACCCCCTACTGCGTTGCTAGTTGTCTCACTCAACAAACTAAAAGAAAAAATGGAGATGAAACTTTAGTTAGACAGGGAAAGGGAAAGGGAAAGTGAAAACGGGAAATTAATTGTAACGGGATGGGAAAGCGCGCCAATTCATATTTCTGTACCACGTGATATACACATGCGTATGGTAATACGTCCAAATACAAATGTGGACCTCGCTCCAAGTTGTGCTGGGCAAACAAACCCCATCAATTTTCTAGGTTAAGCTTTACCCCCACACCATCTTAATTAGTACCACCCTATCTTAATTAGTACCACAATATAATATTTAGCACCACACTAACAATTAACCACTACTTAACATACATTATAATGGCAAAGTATGGGCTACCTTGGGCCAACTACTAAAATCATAAACTCATACTTATAAATCGAAGGGGTATCTTTCGATACAAAATATAAAGAGGATAGTTAATAATGGCAAAACTTGAGCATTTTAATTTTAGTTCACATCATTTCTTCAAGCAATAAGATATTTAAGCATATAGCATAAGTATAAATATAAATCAATAGTACTTCACATGTACAAACTAGAAATCACAACAACATGATGGCTAGAAAAAAGATGCAATGCCACACCATATGGGCAAATTAGTCGATTATTTGAATATTACTTATACAACATGGGATCAAAGATAAGAAACCTTTATAATGGACTTGAGTTGCTCATACAGAAGATAACACTGTTGCTCACTGTAGATTTTCTCTTCAATAGCTTTCACTATGGTTTCCTTCATAAGAGCAAAAAAGATGATAAACAAAACAAAACAAGACAAAACGAATAAGAAAATAATAATGAATATACCAAAAGCATTTAAGAAAATACCTAAATCTTACTTATTTCCACCTCTTCTGAATGATTAAACCAAATTCAAGTAAAAAGTATTCTGTAATGAAGGCGCATCCAAAATCTACAATACACACAATGATTTCCTCAATTAGCAATAAAGTACGTCACTAATCAAATCAATCAAACAAATACGTACAGTATAATCAAATCATAAATTTATTATTAGCATACATTAAACATTAATTAAATCAATAACCCTCATACCTACATTGATTTAGCCAATTTTGACAAACACAAACCCTAGAAAATATAATATATTTCATCCATCAACTCCAATTAACAGAATGTGCTGAAAAGAACTAATAATCCAACAAGTCTACAAATTAAATATATATAACTAATCAGTATTCACTCACTAATAGAACACATAAAAAAAATGTACTCGTTGAAATTGAGATTGTGAATTATTTGATTAGAAATAACATTATTTAGGTCAAACAAAGTATATTAACTGATAAATCACTATATTTTGAATCAAAATTGAAATTCTAGGTCATTTCATACCATTCAAAATTCTACAAAAATAATATACCAAAGAAAGATAAAACGCATTTGGAGAAAAAAATAATTAGATAATGCTCATTTCAAATTGGATGATTTTAGCAAGCGAACTCACCAATCAGATAGTGCGAGTTGAAAAACCGTAGTTTATCTTCAAGCCATTGAATGAACTCTGGTAATTTGAGAGAGAAAGAGGAGAGAGAAAATGACGTAATTACTGCGAAAAGGGGAAGACAGTGAAATGGATAGGAGAGAGAAAGTTGGGTTGGGAGTAGTTTTTGTTTTACTGTTACTTTAAATAAGTTGAGTGATATATTTGGACTGGGTTTTTAAGTTGAGCAAGGGTTTATGACAGGCCAAATATCCTGTCTTTAAAAGCCTTACATATAGGACGAGATTAAGCCTGTCATTAAAGCGTTGTCGTTATTAAACCTGATTTTTGTAATGTGATCTCCTCTTTTTCATTCGCCCTCTTCTCTTTCTCTCGCTATATTACAAATATCTAAGCCTATATGGCTATATCCACTCGACATTGATAGATTGCATACAGTACACTTGAAAAATCACCGAAAGTGGTGTTGTAAAACCTCCGAGTGATGTTTTGGTGGATAGACAAAAAAAAGGCTATTGAGATTAAGGTAGTGGTGTTACGGCCGATGATGTTGTGGTTCTTTTGGTCACGGTTGAATTTGACTATTTAAACCTTAAGAAGAGGGAAAATTGAAAGGTATGTTAATTTTGGTTCATTTTTTATGAATTGGTTAATTTTTTTCATGCTTTTTTTTTTATTTATTTTTTTATTTTTATATATATATATATATATTTTTGGATGTTTGGTTAAGTTTGATTTGGGTGTTTGGTTGATTTTGGATTATGGTTTATTTTTTGAAAATGTTGATGTTTATTTTTGGTTAATGTTAATGTTTATGGTTTTTTTTTCGTGGGTTTACGGTGATGGTGAGTGGTGGTGGGTTAATTTTGGTGAGGGTTGCGATTAAGGCCTGATTTGTGCACCCGGGTACACCATGCAGTTAAAAAAAAAGGGCGGAAAGAACATACCTGTATTTGACAAAGAACATATTAGTGTTTGACAAAGAACATGCCATTATCAAAAAACATAAAGTCTTTACAAAAAGAACATGATTATCACTTTATTAAAATTTCTTGTAAAATTACACATTAACTGAAAAAATCTTTACCAAGGATATCATTTCCCCAAAAATAGTTTTCTTTCTCTCCAAAAATTCAACTTCCCATAATAATTTTACTTTTTTCTCTCTAATATTTTTAGTCAAAAATAATTTAAAATTTCATTTTCAAATTTCATAATTCAAAATTAGAAATTTAAAAATTCATCTTCAATATTTCAGCTTCCAAATTCTTTCATATTTTTTAGCCATTTTTTTAAAAAAAAAAATATTAGTTATAATATTCATCTTAATGATTTGTCATGTGTACTTCTTGTGATGTTCTTTCTATGATTTAATAATGTTCATTATTAGAAAACATGTTGTACTTTTGTATTTGTTTGTAATTTATAATTGTATAATTAATTATTGAAACTTTTTTTTTTCATATGTCCATTACAATATCATATAATTATCTTAATTAGATATTTTGATAAGCTATTTTTAATGTCCATGTATGTTCTTTAATTGTAATTTTAATGTACTTTTATTATTAGATAATGTTTATTACTTATTATGAAATGTTCTTTTAGTATTTCTTTGGATCATGATGTATATATATCAATAATGTCTGTTTTGGAGTTTTTTGATGTCCTGCAGGAGAGTTACAACACCAAGGCTGACCTCAGGACGCCTGTACTTGCAAAACAATGAAGACTCCAGTGGGTGGGAGTTTCGCCTCCGACGATCAAGTTAGAACGTGTTTGAGGAGTAAAGTGCGGAAAGTAAAGGGTCTCTCTTGGATTCCAAGAGAGTATATGCAACGTGTAATTGCTCAGTTCGGGGTGTCAGGTGTCTGACTTTCTCTGATTGTGAGTTAATGTTCCTCAGAAGGAACATTTCCCTTTTATAGGGTATTGGAAAACGTGCCCAGTACTAGGTTTCAAAAACCTAGGACTAACTGGGCTTTGCCTAGGAAATTGGGCCGTAAGAGGCCATTTTCCTGAAAGCCTATATGTCTGCCACGTGTCGTGGCCTGATTGGTCCACCATGGACCTCTTACGAGGTGACACGTGGTGGACTTTGGTTGGTCCACGTGGATGACACGTGGCAAGACGTGAGTGGTCCACGTGGTGGGGAAAAATCTCCTAATCATTTGCCCCTCACAGGGGTGACATGGCATGCCACGTGGCGCTTGTGACAGGTGTCACGCCATGATTGGCTACCGGTTTTTTACTTTTTTATTTTTTTTATTTTTTTTTACTGTCTCTTGGAATTCACCCCCTATAAATAGGGGATTGTCAAATCATTTGCTTGGACGTTTCTAAAAAATTCTAGAGAGCTTTTGTCTTTTTTTGAGAGAGAGCTTCCGACTGCACCAGACCGCCTGCTGTTACAGTCGCCGTAGACTTTCAAGTACTTCGATCTTCATCAACTAAAGGTAACCGTCTGTTTCTTTTTATTTTTTCGTACTTTGTTTTTTCTTTTTGAAAATGGTTTCCCAAAAGCACAGGACACGGCCTAGGTTAGTGATCAGCTGGTCACCGGGGACGGTTGAATTTAGAACTAGGAGTGCCGACTGCCCCTTGCTGGATCACCCTTTGCAAACTGCCTGAAGTCCGACTGTCTATGTGTCTGTGTAGGACACCATGGCCAAAACTAAGAGAACAACAAGGGTGACCAATTCAGACGGTTCTTTCTTTCATGCGCCTTTCAGCGAGGTGTTTGACGTGCCGCCTGGTGCCCCAAGTACCCCTAGTGATTCCATTTTAGACGAATCAGGGGAAGAAGTTGAAATGTAATGCCAGCCTTTGTTGATCTGGCCCGGCAGGCGGACCCTTCATCCGAGAGCTCAGATAGCAATTCTGAGCCAAGCACTTCAAATAAATTTTCGGATGAATCTGAAGAGAGGCACTCTCGGCTAGAGAGTGCCCGAGAGTCCCTTTCAGTAGACTTGGGACCAAACTGGTCGGAGCCGTCTGCTACTAACCGAGAGCAATACATGAAAGGAATGGTGTCCTTCCAATAAGTGTATTATTCCGATAGAGGGTTCAGAATTATTATGGAGATAATTCTTCAGTAAGGTCAAGTGATCGGAATGCCTAGGTGGAGGCCGCTTCCGATTAGTAATATCAATGTACAATTGATGTTACAACTTAATCTTAACTGAACCCTTCGGGTCGAACCCAATCGAATCACCGATCCGAGACGACGAATTAATCCGAAAGGATTTAATGAGTCAGCAGAGTTTTACGAATACAGACGTCGGATATCGAGCCTAGGGCGTGGAGGCCGAGCGTTGCAAAATCACAAGCAACAAGTATGAGCGTAGCCGTAGCTAGGCTAGGCTAGCTCATCGCAAGCCTAGGCGCACCATGTGTGTGCTAGGCGCACCATGGTGTGCTAGGCACTATCGCAGCCCTAACATCATGCCTAGGCGCTATCGCAGCCCTACCATGATGCTAGGCACCATCGCAGCCCCCACGCACCAAGCACAGCTAGCTGGCAGGCAGCACTGGCCCTACGTATGTGCTAGGCACCATCGTAGCCCCCATGCACCAAGCACAACTAGCTGGAAGGCAGCACTGGCCTTGCGTGTGTGCTAAGCACCATCCCAGGCCACGCACCAAGCACAGCGCTAGTGCGTGCTGGCCTGGATGCGTGTAGATGTGCAAGCATCGGCGAGTGGTGTTGGCTGGCTGGGTGTGCGAGCTTGTGCGAAGGGTGCAGCGATGATGCGTGTGATGCTGGCTATGCGAGAGCCATGCATGTGCGTGTGCCTGCGATAGCAAGGCAGCAACGCCCAGCGCCCAGCACAAGGCGTGACTCGCTAGCAGCACGCAAGTGTTGGGCTGGGTGATGCGTGTTGTGCCAGCTAGGCGTGCTAGGTGGCTGTGCGTGCTGGTAGTACCAGGTGGCAGCCAGCCCAGCTGCCTTATGAGTGGCGGTTTAGGAGAGGTGGGGACCAAAGCCTTCAAGCTTCCCTCGGGGAGCAAGGCAATGGTCCCCCCATGGCATATGGTCCTTACCTAACCCATTCTCTCCTCTTGCCACTTGTTGCCTTGTGATTGCTTTTGCCTAATTATTTATTTTGGAAATAAATAAATTATTGCAATTGCACATGATCCCACATTGATCATGAAAAGGGGTTTCAAGTCCCCATTCTCTATAAATACCCACTTGGTTGGGATTTTGAGAATACAACCTTGAGTGGAATTAAAAAGACAACTCTAAGAAAGAGTAAACCTTTGATTCGTAAAACTCATAGTTATTTTGTCCGGGTCTTGACTAACCTTCAAGATTTAGGACGCTCGGGTCGGGTCGAGGGTACGATCCGTCGGAGATCTCGTATTTTCGGGATTTTGAGGTAAGAGCTCTTTGGGAGCGAAGCACGCGTCAAAGGTATAATTCTTATTCTTAATCTTGTTTGATTAAGTTTAATATGCTTGTTAATTGTTTAAATTAAGGGGCGGGTCTTGGTGGGTTTCCTTCCGCGTAGTGTCGGGTCACTACGAAACCCTACAGCGGTATCGGAGCCACGCTCTTTTTAATTTTTGCAATTATTTTTTAATTAAGGTGTTTTTGAAAGAATTTAATTTTCTGGTTCATGTTAGATTAGATGCTCGTTTTAATTAATTTTAAAACTCGATTTTAGTTTTGATTTGGCTGTTGAACCCAAATTTTGGCTCAAAAATAGTGATTTTTGGGTGGAATCAACATTCTGGAACAGCTTCAACCCTATTAGGGTTGTCCAGAATCCAAATTCGATCCAAAAACCCAATTTTTCTGGGGTTTTCCGTTTTTCAACGAAAATTTTAATTCTTTTTAAGCCTTGATTAATGCAAGCATTACAAGGTTAGATTAAATGCACATTTGCATCACTAATCTACTGGTTTTAAAATATCCTTAAGCATAATAATGGAGTTTTTATTAGTGCTTAAGTTGATATACCAATTTTTCACATAAACTTGTTTTTCACAAATTTTGCAAATAAATTGCAATAAAGTGTGAAAAGTTGTTGTGATTTTGTATTTTAAGTTCCCAAATAATGTTAAAGTTCTAATCTTTAAAGGTTTAAATGATTGGAACCCTAACCCTAAATTCCATGTTGAACAAAGTTTGGATTTTTTCATGTTTGGTTGATTAAAATCCATCAAGTTCAATTACTTGTGAGTAAAATTTGATTAATCTTCATATTGGAAGATGTAATCTTGGTATTTTACACAAGTACGCAAGTTGGAAAATTTATCATTGGATGGTTAATTTATTTTTCCAACCCCTTTTTGTCAAATCCATTATTAATTTGCATATTGGCAAGATTAATTTTGGACATATCTCATTTTATTTTATTTTATTTTCC